TCCCGCCAAAAACCACCCCCATGTTTTAGCTAGGTTTCCCAGTAGTGCCCTTTTACCCCTTTTTTGGGGGAGGATTCCCCTACTAAAATAGACTACAGAAAACAATCGGGTACCCTTATTCTAACCTTTCTACTGGAGGACCTAGTTAGGGTAGCTCCATTCAGCCCACCACGGTCTCTCCGTTCAGGAGAACGACACCGAGCGCCGGGAGTTGGAAGAAGTGACCCAGGCCTTCGGTCGGAACGGCTTTCTTTTGGCTCCCCGAAAGCCAAACGAATAAAATGTCCGCTTAAGAGACAGAACATGAATCAACCCTTTGTTGTTTTTGGGGGCACCCGGCCAAAAGTTGTTTTAATGGCGATGCAGGTGCTTTGGCGCATGTTGCCAAGGGATGTTAGGACTCAAAAACTTGTTGCCAACGAATGGGTTTTCCGTATCAAACCACTGAAAGTTAAGTTTTTAGACAGGGGAGCAGCAAGCAACCGAGGAATCAAATGTCGGATAAAAAGACAACCCTATGTTGTTTTTGGGGCACCCGGCCAAAAGTTGTTTTTGGTGGCAAGCAACCGAGGAATCAAATGTCGGATTATGTTGTTTTTGGGGCACCCGGCCAAAAGTTGTTTTTGGTTGGTGTTTTTTTTTTTTTTTTTTTTTTTTTTTTTTCTGTGCGGCGGGGCAACAGCAGCGTAGGGATCTGGGTGATCTTTTCTGTTTGGAGCAGGGTTATTCGAAAGAGCTTCCCGCAGGTTCCCACGATGGAAATGCTGGCGTTTGCCCGACTTACCTGAGCCAAGTTGAATGGGTTTTGGGGTGATGTTTGAGGCGGGTATGACCTACAAATATTGAGATAAAATCGATTGCGGAACACCCAACTGGGTGTCGGTTTTCCTCTGGTTGCCCTTTTACACTTTGCTGCACAAAGTGCCCTCTCAGTCCATGGAAGTTCCCAAGGCAGAGCCTCCGTAAGCCACCGTGAGGTGCTGAAAGAGGAGGTGGCCAAGCTGCGCGGTAAAGGCGAGTGACGTTTGCTGGTTTTGGGGCGTGGAGTTGGCTGGCGGCATGTAAAAGAACCTGGGCATGTCTTTTTTGGGATTTGGGAGGGGTAATTCGAACCCAGTTTAGGAAGCAGGGGGTGTCTCTGGGCCTAGTGGGGAATAATCCAGGGCCGACAATACCTTTTTTTGGATGACTAGGAGGAACCAAAAAGGAGCCATCCATTTTCGTTGTTGTGTTTCTTGTTTGTGTTTAAAAAAGAAAAGTTGTGCTTTTTCTCAACAAAATGAGCCAAACCCACCCACCTCCTCTGTTCCCCTGACGGGAACCCAAAGGATCCTTATCCAGATTCTTGGATGTTCAACCCCGGGTAATCCTGCCATGGTTCCAATCGCCCTTGCTCCCCGGGAAACTCGACAGAAGTGTTCTTGGCGGAGCGATAAACAACATGTCGCAGGCATCGCCGCGGACAAGGAGAACATGCCTTTGGCCGCTTGGATCGCATTTGTTTTTGTTCCCACCCCCAAAACGTGCCGGGATTTTGCCAGGGTAATAGTGACCTGTTCCTGATCCCTTGACCTGGGTAAATCCAACAAGATACTCTTAGGATATGGCTTGCAACTTGGGACCCGAGCGATGAGCCCGGGTGCCCCCTTGCGTCTCGCCGCGCTCGCCTGCCGGTTCGCGGGGGCTTTGGAACCCCGGGCTTGTTGGTGCATGACCCCAAAGTCCCCTAAAGGACCATCCGGAGTACTTACTGTGGAAGAGTCATTCAGGTAGCTTTATCTACATCTCCATCGTTTCCCTTAGGGGTTAGGGTTAATGTTTAAACCCCTCTGTTCATACATGTTCTCTAAAGCAGTTGTTGCCCAATGGGAACCAGCGCCCAATGACCCGACAGTCCTTTTTGGGTGTTCCTACTGGCTGATTTCATCGGAGTTTATAAGAAAGCCTATATACACCATGACCTGCATTTGCTTGACCATTTTTTACACTTATTTTCTCTTGGTTTTGAACGGGACTCCATCACCTCTGGGAATATGTATCTGTTTTTTTTTTGTTTTTTTTTTTCCAGGGGGCTTAAGCAACTGGAGGAGGATGGCGCTGTGGGTAAGCCCAAAGGTCCATGGGCTGGTGGTCGCTTGGGGGGGGGGTCACTGCAAGGCCCGGAACTCCCAGTGATCGTCGGGCAAGGCCAAGGCGACACCCGCGAACTGTTGCGACTGGGCGGTGCTGCTGAGTCATGAAACCGTTTTTTGTTTTGTTTAAGTCTCCTAAAGTGGCCACGGGGTCCTTTTGGGTGCCCTTTGCCTGTCGGTCTCGAAATGAATCTTGAGAAACCACCTGTTGGCGCAAGTGATTTGGATGCTTTGGATTTCTGAGAATCCCAGGTTCGCCATGGACCCATGCTCATTTGGTCCGTGAGAAAATGCGCCGTATTTTTTTGGGCATTCCTCCGTTTTGAATCCGTGTCGGGGAGCATCCTGCCTGGGAACGAGACGCCCTCCGAAGAAACGTGCCCCGTCCAGAGGACACGGACCCCGGGGGTTTGGAGCATTGCGAGTCCGGAGGGAATGGAGATCCATACCGCGCGGGTATGGGAGGACGTGTTTTATTTCTATTTTTTGTTTTTTTGAAAAAAACACATTTTTCGCCGAAGGTGGTTGTTTTCTAGGATCCCCAAATCGGATTCAATGTTTTAGGTCCTTTGGTTTGCATTTGCTCAATCTTAACCCCCTGGTTGTGATGTGTAAAAGGGAGACCGCCTTTTGCCCGAACCCGAGCCTGCAAACCGGGCTCCAAATTGCAGGCCCCGACTTTCCCGAGCCCTTTTGGTGGGTCGAACTGACTGAGATCAGGGGAGGCTTCGTTTTTTTTTTTTTTTTTTTTTTTTTTTTAATCTCCGCGTGATCATCAACCGGCCGCATGCTGTCGTACCAACAGGTCTGACCAAGCAGAGCACGGGAAACAAACAAAGCTGGGCTATCTTTAGTGTGGCTCGTTTGGGGCGGGGGGGAAGCCACTAAGGACGACCTTTCATCCAAGTGTTGAGCAATTTGGTCCACTCCTTGTTTGACCTATGACCCCCGGATTGATGCACCCCTGATTAAGGGGTGCAGTGAAGAGGGGCTCATTCACTTTCGGCCCCTATCAATCCGAGAGTACAGGGATTCCTTCGGTTCTGCGCAGGATTTGTTCGAGGCCTGACTTCTTGTTGCGTGAGATGTCGCTGACCTCCTCTCGATCCAAGCGACTGAAGTGATGCATCGACATGCTGCACCTGTGTGGTTTCCAGATGTGTTTACGTGTTCGTTTGGAGATCTTGAGTGAGTGCTGATTTTATATGAATTTGTGGTCTTCCATTGGTCAATGACCTCGGTCAATGCAGATCTGGGAGTTGAAGAGCAGGAGTCGCAGAGTGTTTGCAAGGGAACAATCAACAAGTGAGCCACAACTGCAAGGGATGATTCCCCTCTTTTGTCAACCATCGCTCTTTAACCCCTCAGTTTCTGGAGGTTCTCTAGAAAGAAGGAGCCCTGGAAAGAATGGAAATGAAGGTACCCCTAGAACAACCAAAACTCGCACCGCCAAAGGGTGACCAATGCCAGCTCCAGGGAGACTCCTTGAGGTTTTGCTTACTCAAGAGAGAGGCCGGCCTGAATGAATTCGGTGCATCTTTAGAGGATCCCTACGACTGGATGGTGTCACTTCAAATACCATATAGCCGCCTTCCAAAGGTATTCCCAATTTCACGACCCCCCCCCCCTCCCCCAATTTCAGCTCCTGTGAGATACTCCCGTTTGCAGGTGAAATTCAAGCATCCGAGCGGTGTCGGCAGCCCGTTTTCAGGCGACGCAGTTGACACCACTGTAGTGCACGGCAGTTGTTTAATGTGACCGTCATGGTCCCCATTTTTGGAGTTTGAGCAGCAGCTCATCTTGCTAACACGTTCCGGCAGAGGTGTTGCAATGGCCCGTTCAATTCACCGATGTCATGGGTCTGTCTCACAAGGGAGCTTCTGTTTTCATGGGCTTAGGAAGCCAGCAACGCATCCAGGTGTACTCCAATTGGAATCAGCGAAACTGAACTCCTCTGCCAGTGAGAAAGCGTCTTGCCCATTGCACAAAGAGCCAGTGCCTCATGTGGAAAAAGGCATCCTCCGTGGGTTTGTTGTGTGCAGCCCGGCAGCAGGAGGGATCCTCGAGTGTTTGTAATGGGAACTCAGTTGTGCCGTGGCACCCTTTTCGTTGAAGGCGGTCAACCCCAACAAGAGGACCACCCCTTTTTGGGTCACATGGGGTCACTGAACGACTGTCGGAATCCGCATTTGAGGGTAAAACTGGTAGTTTGGGATAATTTTTGAGCAGGACGAAGGCGAGCTGGACCAAATCCACCATATCCGCCAAATCCAGCGGAACCACGCCCCCGTTCGTTCCTGGTGTTTGGGAGGAGCATATAGCATTGTTTGTGGCTCATTCAAGTTTTTGGCTGGCCTGAGAACGGACTCAGGTCCTGATAGAACCAATTAATCTAAGAAGCCAGTTACAGGAAAATATGCTGGAATTTCGCCATACACCTGTGACGGCCCTGTCTGTTTCCTTTGGCTTCCATCTGCGCCTTGCGCAAGATACCACATGAGGTTCGCTCTCAAATTGTCCTAATTCTATCCAGACAAACGAGAAGGGGGGATGAGCCACAGTCGTTTTCAACCAAAACTAGGGATCCCGCACGAGCCCTTATTTTCCCGCCTCGTGATTTGCAACTGTCATCACAAGACGGCACAACAATGGCGTCGTGTTGAGACCGCAATGGCCAGCAACCATGATTTGAATCCAGAAATCGGTTGGATGCGGTTTTTGTGGATCCACCCCTGTAGGATATTTCAAGAGTACCAAAAGAGTACTCAAAAAGAACCTGCAGGTGGGAAGAGCAGGTGAAATCCACAAGAAGCGCCTCTCCAAACCGTTGTCCAGATTGAAGAGTAGGGGATCACCTGAATCGATCAGGCCGTGCGGCGCACTGGCAAGGCCCGCTCGCGCTCGAATGCTGGCCCTGAGGTTAGCTGGAGGGAGACTGGCCAGTTGATTGCCTCATCACCTGACATGCCACCTGACACAAATACCGTAAGAGGAAAGATCATCTTCCGGTTACCCTCCCACAAATGCCTTTTGCTGGTGATTTGCTTTTTGTTTGCTGTTCGCGAAGCGTCCCCCATCCATTGTCTGGCCTGCGAAAACTTGTGGAAACCAGATTTCGGATCTTATTTGAGCAAAGCATTTCATTTTGCACACCACCGGAGCCGGACAGTGGTGGCAAATAATCACAGAGAAGGGAATTCAAACAAGTTAAATACAGAAAAGTTGGTTTGTTCTGATCTGTTTTTCTGGGTGGGAAAATATGGCTGCCCGTCCTCGGGTGAGAAGCACATGATCCCGAGCGCTGGCAATGCTCAACTGATACTAAACTAATACTAATCAATACAATGCTAACCAGCACAGAACCAATACTAAACGGATCCGGAGCCAGCCAAACCAACTGAGGCCCCAAACAGCCAACCTCTTTATGACACCCTTCACTACCAATTAAATGTTCAAGGGAAGCCCGAACCAAAAGGAAAAGATACATGTTCAAGGGGAGGACACAGAGAAACGAAACACATTTGGGCCAGTACTAAAGAACAAATTCTGAGCCAAGTCTTCTACTGAACCAGTACACGGGAATACTAAACCAATACTTACTACACCAATTCTGAGCAGTACTGGGCCGGCTCAAATTACCAAGGCAGTTCTACAGCAGTACCGGGCACTTGCTGAGCGAGAACTTCAGGCCCAACTCTGATCCCCAGATTTTTGTTCCAGGCTTTTCCCCGAAAATAAATAGAGGGATAAGCAAAGTTTGAGGGGGGCTCTTAATTGTTTGGAGAGCAACAATGCTCTTGGAGGGCATCGCACATACATATATATATATATATTATACACATATATATATACATATTCACATATGGATGCCCCCCAAGTCAATGATATATATATATATATACATCTATACTAACATACATTGATTTATATGTATATATGTGTATATGCATAGATAGATGCCCACCCCCTCCATGATATATACATATATATATATATACATGTGTCTATATGTATATATGTGCTCTGCAAATGGATGGCCAGATCGCCGCAACAGCCGAGTCTGCTGCAGGTAACTCACATCGGCACCACCACCCGCGCCATTGGGTACCCCGCCTACGGCGCGGTCTCCATGTTCCCCGCCTGGACCCCGGAGTTTCAGGTGTCTGCGTGTTCACAAACCGCCGGTCCCGAGCCATTTGGAATGGAAGCTCCAAGAGTGGCGATCGTTTCCATGGAAGCCACCAGAGTGCAACTTCAAGAAAAAAGTCTGGTGAGACCAAAAGGATTCGAGATACAAGGCAGGCAGGCAGAACGTGGAACTTCTTGTGGCGTTGGCTCACTGAAGTACCATGGAGGTTCCAACTTCCCAAGACAACAAGTCTTGTAGGTCTATGTATCTAACGGGACCCCACATTGAAGATGTGCATGGCCTTTCGCAAGCCCTAAACCTATCCACGCTCCAGGGCCAGCGTACAATTCTAGGGTTCGGACCCGATTGAACATTGGATTCCCCCTTCTGGCCTTCCCCTTGACCAAGTTGTTGCCCTCTGGTTGGCTTCTTTAGGAAATCCTTCACAGCCAAGGGTCTTCAGAAAACTTGGTGAGAAGTCAGCAAGTGTCAGAAGCCTGCTTGAAAGTCCAACGCCGACAGTAAGTAGGTTGGTTCTAACCATGGTTATAAGAGAGCAAACCCCAGTTCCGAGTAATTAATGACCATGCTTGCAACCTTTGCACCAGTTTTGCACCTGAAGGGTTGCTCAAATTCAATCCTTGTTGTTTCCCTCTTTGTAGCGGGGTCCCACTACGGATTACTGATTGGCCCTATTGTGGACAACCCAGCCTGACTTGAGCCACCAGGCCAGTGAGATTTAGTGAGGGATAGTCCGAGCCAGAAACAGGCGTGCCCACCTTTGATTCTTAGGGTTCTGGGCAATCAGATCTGTTTAGCAGGGTTCCGTTTTGGTATTTCCCCTTTAAACATCACCATTTTTGTCCAAATAGAGCTGGACATTCAAAGGACCCCCGTGGAAGAGGACAGTGTTGTTTTTTGGGAATGCCCGAAATGGCTTCGGTTGGGCTTTCCTTAGCCACCAACAGATGGGGTACCCTCAAAAAAGGACCCGGACACATCACCCCGACTGGGAAATACGTGGGCCCAAACCTCGGTGTTGTGCTGGGTTGAACCTCCGGTCCCGACAAGAAGCATCCGAGGCGGAACCAGTGCCATCCGGCACTGCTCGGGCGCGCAGAGATGTTGCAAGTCTTTGGATCACCGAAGGCATTTGTTTCCTTGTTTTTCAGGGCACCGGTGTTAGGGTTGGTTTTAACTCGCCGCAGAAAAGGGCCTCATCTGAGCAACGGATGAAAAGCAACCGAGGGTGTCGATTGGTTTCTGATTAGATACACCGCACCGGTCTGTCAAGAAAATCCTTGGAACATCCCTGGATCACCCTATGGCTAGCTCCTGACACAGGGCTTTTCGTGGATTTCCATTTTTTTTTGTTGAGGAACCGGTGTTTGGGGTGAACAGATTTGCCGGGCTCGAGGTCTTAGTGTCGTTGGCTGGCTGTCGGAGAGTTTGCAAGAAAGGCAGTTGCACATGGTTTCCCAAAGGTGGTTTTTTGATTGCCGGACTTGGGTGGCCCTTTTTGGGATTCCCTGCTGTTCTCTTACCAGCAACAGGCTAACTCCTTGAGGAAAAGTCTGGCCAAGTTTGTTCACACCTGGCATGGCCATCCTTTAGGCTTGTTACTTGTTCATTTATCCTCTTCCCCATTTGGAAACTATCATCGAACGCCATCATTGACCGGGTCCCTTCAACAAGTGAGCAAAAAGCCTGGGTTGGTTGAGTTTTTTGTTCAAGGGTCGGATGAGGGCTTCTTGCAAGCCTCATGATGGACGTCCTCGTGATTCAAGAGATCTTACCGCAACTTGTGGCTGACACACCCACGAGCGATGTTCGGGATGGGCTGTTTTGTTTTAGCTGGATGGAGTTTGTTTGTTCTTTTAAGTCGGCTTTTCAAATGTTGCCAGTCTTCGCTTGCCACTTTCTCGTTTCCTTCCCTCTCCCAAGCAACCGGCAAACGGCGCTAGACTGCGCCGTCCCAGGTCACTGTGCCCCGCGCCTGGGCCTCTGTGGTTTTGCCATTGGCAGAGCAGGTACAGCCAAATATCTTTCCTGGTCACAGAGCCAATATTTTGTTTTTCTTCCCAAAGTTACGGATGCGCTTTGCCGACTTCCCTCACCTGAGGGCTCGCTATATGTCCCTTGTTGGCGGTTTTGACCATCACCTTGTGGGCCAATTTGATATGGTCGTCATGACCACGGCATCCAGAGGACACAGATTTGTGAACGCGGGCCAATTTTACATAGTTTCCTACATTGGTAATGGTAAGGGTGATGTGTTAAGGAGAAATATGGCTGTGGGTCCAAACCAATGGTACCATTTTGGGGTAGGTTTAGTCTACTTTAGTGGTTGGATTGGGATGTTCACTGGGGGTACGAACTCTTGACCGATGGCCAAAAAGGGTGCTTTGTTCTATCGACCACATTTTCCGTTTTTTTTCGGGACCCTCTCTGCTCCTCAGGTGGTGTCCCCACCGATGACTCTGGCTCCGGCTCGGGCCTCGGATGCGAAGCGAGTCAATGTATCCAGGGACTGATATGCAGGGATCTTGCTCCTCCCTCCAAAATACCCGTTCTCGAAAAGCCAGGTTTTCCATGGTAAATACCACCTTTGTAGAGGATTGACGTGATACCCCAACAACAGTGGGTATTTGGAGTAGGGGGTACTGCGTGATGCACCTACGAAAACCAATCCGATCTTCCGGTAGCTTAGGGTCCAATGGTCTATTTGGAACTTGTTGCAATATTCACCTGGAGAGTCACTCATGTTCCCATCGAGGCTACGAGCCTTGGGTTTGAAATGCTGAAAGGCTTGGCATGACGAGACTGGTCGGAGCTTGGATGGTCCTGGGGTTCTGGGGGGCCTGGAAGATCCTTTAAGGTCGTTGAGACCCTTGTTGGCTGACGTTGGTAGGATGCGACACGGATGTTTGTTTAGACCCAGAGGCCAACATGTGCAGGGGGAAATGCCTATCAGCGAACAGTGCCCCCAATCGGCGACTCCCAATCAGCGACGGCCAATCAGCGAACACACGCGCGCCAATCAGCGATTGACGCGGGACCCATCCGCGAATATCAACAGCTAGTCGCGAATGGCTGTGGTTGTGCAGGAATGACTCAGGGTTTGGTTTAGGGTTAGGTTTCAGGGTTTGGTTTAGGGTTTGGTGTAGGCGTTTCCTGTGGCGGGTCAACTCTTTCTGGTGTTCAGGATTGCTTTGAGGGTTTCCTGTGGCGGTTCGGCTCTTTCTGCTGGTAAGGATTCCTGTGGCGGGTGGACTCGTTCTGCTGGTCAGGATTCCTTTTACGGTTTGCTGTGGCGGGTCGACTCTTTCTGCTTGTCAGGATTCTTTTTAGGGTTTCCTGTGGCGGGTCGGCTCTTTCTGCTGGCCGCGATTCCTTTTAGGGTTTCCTGTGGCGGGGTGACTCTTTCTGCTGGCCGGGATTCCTTGTAGGATTTCCTGTGGCGGGGTGACTCTTTCTGCTGGCCGGGATTCCTTTTAGGGTTTTCTGTGGCGGGATGACGCTTTTTGCTGGCCGAGATTCCTTTTAAGGTGTCCTGTGGCGGGGTGTCTTTCTGCTGGCCGGGATTCCTTTTAAGGTTTCCTGTGGCGAGGTGACTCTTTCTGCTGGCCAGGATTCCTTTTAGGGTTTTCTGTGGCGGGGTGACTCTTTCTGCTTGCCTGGATTCCTTTTAGGGTTTCCTGTGGCGGGAAGACTCTTTCTGCCGAGATTCCTTTTAGGGTTTCCTGTGGCGGGGGGACTCTTTCTGCTGGCCGGGGTTTCTTTTAGGGTTTTCTGTGGCGGGGTGACTCTTTCTGCTGGCCGGGATTCCTTTTAGGGTTTTCTGTGGCAGGGTCGACTCTTTCTGCTGGTGAGGATTCTTTTTAGGTTTTCCTTGTGGCGGGTCGACTCTTTCTGCTGGTGCTGTGGCGGGTCAACTCTTTCTGCTGGTCAGGATTTCTTTTTGGATTTCCTGTGGCGGGTCGACTCTTTCTGGTGTTCAGGATTCCTTTGAGGGTTTCCTGTGGCGGTTCGGCTCTTTCTGCTGGTAAGGATTCCTTTTGGGGTTTGTTGTGGCGGGTGGACTCTTTCTGCTGGTGAGGATTCCTTTTAGGGCTTGCTGTGGCGGGTGGACTCTTTTTGCTTGTAAGGACTCCTTTTAGGGTTTCCTGTGGCGGGTGGTAAGGATTTCTTTTCGGGTTTCCTGTGGCGGGTCGACGTCTCTTTCTGCTGGGCAGGATTCCTTTTAGGGTTTGCTGTGGCGGGTCGGCTCTTTCTGCTGGTCAGGATTCCTTTTAGGGCAGGATTCCTTTTAGGGTTTCCTGTGGCGGGTCGGCTCTTTCTGCTGGTCAGGATTCCTTTTAGGGTTTCCTGTGGCGGGTGGACTCTTTCTGCTGGTAAGGATTTCTTTTAAACTTTGCTGTGGTGGGTCGCCTCTTTCTGCTGGTCAGGATTCTTTTTAAGGTTTACTGTGGCGGGTCGGCTTTTTCTGCTGGTGAGGATTCCTTTTAGGGTTTCCTGTGGCGGGTCGACTCTTTCTGCTTGTCAGGATTCTTTTTAGGCTTTCCTGTGGTGGGTCGCCTCTTTCTGCTGGTCAGGATTCTTTTCAAGGTTTACTGTGGCGGGTGGACTCGTTCTGCTGGTCAGGATTCCTTTTAGGGTTTGCTGTGGCGGGTCGACTCTTTCTGCTTGTCAGGATTCTTTTTAGGGTTTTCTGTGGCGGGGTGATTCTTTCTGCTGGCCGGGATTCCTTTTAGGATTTCCTGTGGCGGGGTGACTCTTTCTGCTGGCCGGGATTCCTCCTAGGGTTTTCTGTGGCGGGGCGACTCTTCCTGCTGGCCGAGATTCCTTTTAAGGTTTCCTGTGGCGGGGTGACTCTTTCTGCTGGCCAGGATTCCTTTTAGGGTTTTCTGTGGCGAGGTGACTCTTTCTGCTGGCCAGGATTCCTTTTAGGGTTTCCTGTGGCGGGGTGACTCTTTCTGCTGGCCGGGATTTCTTTTAGGGTTTTCTTTGGCGGGGTGACTCTTTCTGCTGGTCAGGATTCTTTTTAAGGTTTACTGTGGCGGGTGGACTCGTTCTGCTGGCCGGGATTCCTTTTAGGGTTTCCTGTGGTGGGGTGTGGCGGGGTGACTCTTTCTGCTGGCCGGGATTCCTTTTAGGGTTTCCTGTGGCGGGGTGTGGCCGGGATTCCTTTTAGGGTTTTCTGTGGCGGGGTGACTCTTTCTTCTAAGAGTAAAAGTACATACCCCAAAAGTACATACCCCAAAATAATGGAAACACCTTCTCGGGGTAGGGATGTGTGCTTGCCACTTTCACTGTTAGCCTATGCCAGGCGCTATTCGTGATGGTTTGTGTTCAGCCCCGGGATGGCAAAAGCAGTGTGGGCAGAACAACGCCCAGGTGATGCCCCAGATTTCGTATCTTGAGACCGGTGCTGAGGAACCCTGGACAAAAGCCCACCGGGGCCGCAGAGTACATACCCCAAATTTCTTCAATTTCTCCCGGGCCGGGAAAACACAGCATACCGTGGGGAAAAAAGTACATACCCCAAAATAGTTGGTTATGGGTGCGTCCTTTGTTCTGGGGCTCCTTTTTTGGGGTATGCGGGGGGGTTGTGGGTCTTGGGGTAGCTTTTTGGTCATTGGGGTGGGGTTGGCGGGGAATTCGGGGGAGGGATGCCGGGTGATTTCGGGAGAGTTTTGGGGGCCAGGGGCTTCGGGGGGTGGAAAAGGGAAATCCGGTGCCAAGAAACGCAGGTGCAAGTGAAAATGGGGCACGCTGCCTTTGCAACATTGTATAACCCCTATATAACCACTCTATAGTCAACTTGTTTTGGGTATGTGATTTCGGGGTATGTAGAAAAACCCTTAGATTTCTGCTGGCCGGGATTTCTTTTAGGGTTTCCTGTGGCGGGGTGACTCGTTCTGCTGGCCGGGATTCCTTTTAGGGTTTTCTGTGGCGAAGTGACTCTTTCTGCTTGCCTGGATTCCTTTTAGGGTTTCCTGTGGCGGGATGACTCTTTCTGCTGGCCGAGATTCCTTTTAGGGTTTCCTGTGGCGGGGGGACTCTTTCTGCTGGCCGGGGTTTCTTTTAGGGTTTTCTGTGGCGGGGTGACTCTTTCTGCTGGCCGGGATTCCTTTTAGGGTTTCCTGTGGCGGGGTGTGGCCGGGATTCCTTTTAGGATTTCCTGTGGCGGGGTGACTCTTTCTGCTGGCCGGGATTCCTTTTAGGGTTTCCTGTGGCGAGGTGACTCTTTCTGCTGGCCGGGATTCCTTCAATCCTCCGTCAATGCTCCGTCGATTCTCCGTCAACGCTCCGTCAATCCTCCGTCAACTCTGCGTCAGTTCTCCGTCGATCCTCCGTCAATTCTCCGGCAATTCTCCGTCAGATCTCCGTCACTTTGCCGTCAATCCTCCGTCAATCCTCCGTCAATCCGTCAATCCTCCGTCAGTTCTCCGTCGCTTCGGCGTCAATTCTCCGTCATTTCTGCGCCGGCTGGCCGTGAGTGCTCCGTCGTCCGGGAAATCCCGAAAATTCTCCGAATGTTTCCATATCCCCGGACAGTGGTCCATCATTTTTCCTATCTCTTCCCCTTCAATCATCCGTGTCACTTCTCCGTCAACTCTCCGCCAATTCTCCGTCAGTTTTCCGTCAATCCTCCGTCAATGCTCTGTCGATTCTCCGTCAACGCTCCGTCAATTCTCCGTCAACTCTGCGTCCATTCTCCGTCGATCCTCCGTCAACTCTCCGTCAACTCTCCGTCAATCCTCCGTCAAATCTCCGTCGCTTCGGCGTCAATTCCTGGAGAATCTCCGTCATTCCTCCGCCGGCTGACCGTGAGTGCTCCGTAGTCCGGGAAATCCCGAAAATTCTCCGAGTTTTTCAATATCCCCGGGCGTCAGTTCTGCGTCGATCCTCCGTCAATTCTCCTGCAATTCTCCGGCAAATCTGCGTCACTTTGCCGTCCATCCTCCGTCAATCCTCCGTCCATCCGTCAATCCTCCGTCAATTCTCCGTCGCTTCTGCGTCAATTCTCCGTCATTCCTCCGCCGGCTGACCGTGAGTGCACCGTAGCCGGGAAATCCCGAAAATTCTCCGATTTTTTCAATATCCCCGGGCGTCAATTCTCCGTCGATCCTCCGCGTCAATTCTCCGGCAATTCTCCGTCAAATCTCCGTCACTTTGCCGTCAATCCTCCGTCCATCCGTCAATCCTCCATCAATTCTCCGTCGCTTCGGCGTCAATTCTCCGTCATTTCTGCGCCGGCTGGCCGTGAGTGCTCCGGCGTCCGGGAAATCCCGAAAATTCTCCGAATTTTTCAATATCCCCGGACAGTGGTCCATCATTTTTCCTATCTCTTCCCCTTCAATCATCCGTGTCACTTCTCCGTCAACTCTCCGTCAATTCTCCGTCAGTTTTCCGTCAATCCTCCGTCAATGCTCCGTCGATTCTCCGTCAACGCTCCGTCAATTCTCCGTCAACTCTGCGTCAATTCTCCGTCGATCCTCCGTCAATTCTCCGGCAATCCTCCGTCAAATCTCAGTCAATCCTCCGTCAATCCTCCGTCAACTCTGCGTCATTTCCCTGTCGATCCTCCGTCAACTCTGCGTCAATTCTCCGTCGATCCTTCGTCACTCCGTTGATCCTCCGTCGATTGCTACGTGGCTGCGCACGTGAGACCTGAATAACAGCGACACAGCCAACAAACCTGTCGACGATTAATCCCCGATTGGACCCCGGCCATTCCCCGATTGGCGCCATGACGTTCTACGATTGATTTCCGACAGTCATTCCCCGATTGGATTCATCGTTCTCCGATTGGCGTTCCCCGATTGGTTTGGTTCCCACATGTGCACAACGAACGGTTGGTGGTTGGAACAATATGTCGGTCCCCCCAAATTTAACTCCTCGTGGCAACATGTTGGGCTGTTCTCTATAACTGTAATCGGACCATTCAAAACGTGAATTTTACCTGGCATTGTGAGTTTCACCTGGTATTCACCTTTGACGAGCTGGCATCCATCCACTCGGTGAGCAAGCAAATGCCATAAACCCAGCCATTTTCCAAATGACTAAACATCAATTGAATCAGACCCTCCACCACTGGTAACGCATCCCACCCTCTCTTGCTTCCCTCATAGCCCTTCACACTCGCCCATTCTCCCTTATTTCCCTTGTTCCCTCGTTTCCCCCTTGCTTCCCCTTGGTTCCCTCTTTTTCCTTGCTTGCTCAGTTGTTTGTATCCGTTGTTATAGTGGTAAGTGGGCTTAGTTCGCTCGTCAGGGTGATACCCCACTTTCCCAAGTCAGTCAACGGCCATCCCAGTAGGAAATCAACATAGGCTTCACCCCTGTGAATAGAAGCTCCTGAGGTGACATCAGTTCAGATGCCTACCAATGCAGGGCCGCAGCCTAAGTCCAATCGGTTTCTTCTCGGTGTCCTGGTCTTTTGTTGGCAGTTTGGGTTCGCTTCCAAGTTCCTGGTTTCTCTTGTTCGGTCTGCCTTCCTTGGTGTCTTTTGCTCTCCTGGTTTCCATTTGAGGTTTCCTTTGGGTCTCTTTTTGTGTCTTGGGAGTTCTGGTTGCATTTGGCTTCCTTTCGGTCTTCTTTTGTTTTCGTGGTTGAATTTATGTTGGTTTCCGAATCGGATTTCATCTGCTAACATGTTAGCTTCATTTGATCCAGTTTTGGCCACAGCCCAACCGGGCGAACGTTCATTTACAGATGCTTTCGGTCTTTGCAGAAGGGGAGGTCGCCCTATTCTTGATTGCTATTCGGTTGGATCTTTAGACTTGCACTTTTTGGAAATTCAAGGGTTTTCCATCGAGCCCACAAGAAGAGACACTTTTTGCAGAGGGGTCAACCCCGGCTGAGACAGGCGCACGGATCGTTCGTTCGCAGCTGCGAGAGAGAGAGAGAGAGAGCGAGAAAGGGGTCAACAGCAAAGAGCTGTTGAAGTCTTGGGCTTCCTAGGGTTCAAGGTCCGCTGAACCTAGGCTGGTGCACGGCCAAGTGGGCATCCAGATCACCGGCGTGCGCCGCATTCGCTGAGAGCCTGGCGCCTGAGCGACGCGACTTTTCTTATTGGCCCCTGCGGGATGTTGGCCACTGCCAGGGCGGGAAAAGGACTGGAGACTGCTTGGCAGAAGCCGTTGCTGGGGCGGTCTGCTTTTTGGGTCGGAACGCTCACTTGTGGTACCCTATTTCGGGGAAATCGAATTGCGCAATCACGCAGGGTTATGGCTTTGCAACCTCTATCGTCCATCGTGAAGTGTCTTTCTTGTAGTCACTTTATTTCAGGTTGGTGATCGATGATAGTTCACCCAGCATATGCTCACTTGCTCTTTAGAAAGCATCCATTTTGACGGTAAACAACTAAAAGAGACTTTTTCCGGCCAACCGCTCCAGAAGTGGGATCATGCATTAGTTGACGCCCCTCTGATGTTCCGCGCATTTGAGCAACGGTCGATATTCAATATCATGTACCGTAGTAAAGAGGATTTCACGGGGACTCAGCAACTCACAATACAAATAAGGGTTGCTCGCCGACATCTAATGCCACTTGGGGATAAGGAATATTGCCCGTGGCTCATGTCAGGTGCAGACAACATAGGTAGTCTAGGGTCAATTTGGGACTTGTGTCAAATCGCAGACAAAGCAAAGCAAAGGCCCATCCTGGCGATGGTCAGCCCGCAGGGCTTACAGGGCGCTTTCCCGCCTTCACTTCCCGATCCGCGAGCTGGATCTAAGCTTCGCGTCGGGCTGTGGCCTTGTGCTGCCGGCCCCGCTAGGAACGAGCGGAGCGTTCAGCCGACGTTTCTACCGCACGCGGATGCGCGCTCACTGGTCCCTATGTTCCCCCTCAAAGGGTGTTTTTGAAAGATCATCCTTTAAACCACTTAAAAGGCGTTTCCTTCTGGCAGGTGATGTTTGAAGGCATAGGTGTCATTTTTAGGTTTGGTTAGAAATAGATGGGTTCCACTGGTTTAGATGGGTTTTGTGCAGCCATCTTTTTTTTTCAAAAGGTCGCCTAGTTAGGGGGAATCTGGGGAACTCTGTAGTTTGGGGCCGGGTTTCTCATCGCTTTGAGCTCCTACAGCTCCAGAAAACGACGCAAACCGGCCGACAGCTGCCTGATGTGACTCGCGGAAGGCTCACTCAGTCCGCGGAGAATGATTTTTGTTTCTTCTTCTTCTACATGCGCTATGCTATTGGTTGGTTGGTTGGTTGGTTGGTTGGTTGTGCGAAAGTACACCATGCATTCCCACTTGGATGTAATTCATACTGATTACCATTGCATGGCTCAAGATGACAAAGGTGCATTTGCTGCCTTGGTTGATTAGCAGAGATTAGTCTCTGATTTTCCCATGGTAGCGGAGCTCGAAGATTCAGGAGACCTTAGGGAAACCTGATTCTGAGAGCTGCCATGGCACTCGGACAAGATGAGGATTTTGCAGGAAAGCTAAGACTTCCCATGCCAGGGAAATTCACTGGCAAGCCAGAGGACTGGGAAGATTGGAGCTGGGATTTCAGGACATATTTGAGCATGTTCCTGCCAGATTCAACAACGATTATGGACCGCATTGAGGCCAACGCAGACACACCCATTGAGGACGCGCATTTGAATGTAGCGGGTAACCAGGATGCCACAGACAGAAGGATTCAGAATTCCCGAAGGCTGCATTATTTGTTAGCAAATTTGTGCAGTGATTCAGCAAGGCTGGTAGTCAGGCAGAACATTGGCTGCAATGGTTATGAAACCTGGAGGAGATTGTATTCCAAATTTGCATTGCCGGACGCAACACGGCACATGAGTTTACTTAGCCAGATTTTGGAATTCAAGTTTCACTCCAATACATTTGAACAAGATTTCAACACCTGGGAGACCATTAAGGCCAGATATGAATCTCAAACCGGCCAAGCCATTCCTGATAGCATTCTGGTGGCTACCCTCTTGAACAAGACAACAGGCCCATTGCAACAGCATTTGAGGCTCAATGCTTCGGCATTGTTGACCTATGAACAAACACGAAACGTGATTGTGCAGTACCACCATTCCAGGCACATTCTTAGGAACATGCCGGGGAATGACAACCAAGGACCAGCACCCATGGACATTGGGGCGCTGAAAGGATTCAAAGGAAAAGGCAAAGGCAAAGGATTCAAAGGATTCAAAGGAGCCAAAGGACCACATTGGTCATACAACAAAGGAGCATTCAGCAAAGGAAAAGGAAAAGGAAAGGATTTCAAAGGCAAAGGCAAAGGAAAGGACCCAAAAGGAAAAGGAAAGGATTCCAAAGGAAAAGGAAAAGGGTCGATTGCAACCTGCTGGATTTGCGGCTCTCGCGGCCACATTTCCAGAACATGTCCGCAGAGAGCTGTGAGCGGAGTGATTGAGGAAGATTGGAATGAAGAATGGTCCGAAGAGCCCTGGCCTGATTCGTCGTGGCCTGATGGCTCATGGGACATTGCTGGATTAAGTTGGGATGAAGGAGAAGATTGGTCCTGGGATTCGTCTTGGGGATCATGGGATTCTGTGAACTCTTGGGACCACCCTTGGGATTGGTTTCAGGACAGTCAGATTCCAGAGCCTCCTGCTGGATGCGATTCTGCCGCGTTTTCATCGGCAGGACCACCCCCAGCAGGAGATTCACAGCAAGGAACCATTGGAGCAGTGACACAGGTGCCGCCGGGATTGAGTCCAAACATTGGCTCAACTCCCATTCGGCCAAAGGCCAAGCCAAAGGCCTCATCATTTTTGATTGCTGCACTTGTCATGAATTCGGTCACCTCAGGATCATCCTTTCAGATTCCTGCCACTCGTGGCAGTCCGTCTGAGGGTGAAGGTGAAAGTTGGATGACATTTGGAGAGCATGAAAGATTGTTTAAGTCGATGTATTGCTTGGACACTGGATTGGATAGCATGCCATGTTTGAGTGCCGGATTGATTGCCCCTGTTCCCGGACAAGACTTGTTAGATTGGTATGATGAACCAACCCCAGTGAAGGATTCTTTTCATTTCGTGACCACCTTGAAGGACTGCGGCTTGGATCACTTGAATTCGAAGTTTGTTGACACATTCTTGCATGAACAGTTGATTTCAGCAGTCGAGGATTCCACCCCGTGGATTCTATTTGATTCAGGAGCATCTGCCCATTGCTGTCCGCCAGACTTTGGTGAACAATGGCCATTGCTTCCATTAAATGGAAATGGCCCACCATTGAAGAGTGTCACAGGACAGCCATTGAACATGTATGGGAGAAGATTGGTTGGCTTGAACTTGGATGGACAAGATTGCTTCATGAATTTTTATGTTTGTGACGTGCCTTATCCGATTGTGTCGGTTGCACGATTGCTGCTGCAGGGATTCCGCGTAGCATTGGATGGACCAGACTCATTGGGATTGTTTATGCCCAATGGTAAGGTAGTGAGTATTCACCGAAAAGGCTCACTGCTTTTCCTAGGTCCGAACATTCTTCCATTTGACAAACCCCGATTTGAAGAAGTGTGTCAAGAGTTTCATTCCAAGTTTGGTTCAGATTCTTCAGGGACCATAGCACCCACATTTAAGCCCACCATTTACCACAACGACAGTTGGGAACTTGATCCGCAACGCGCTGTGCTGATTCGACATCACAAGCGCGCAAGGCGTGCGTTATTCACGCCAGGTGGCACCAAGGACAGGCCCATTCCTGTGGAAGATGTGGCGTCCAGACGCACAACTTACGTCCGATTCGAAGATGGACGTGAGGAGACCATCGCCGACAATTGGCGGACGATAGATTCTCCGCAACGGGCGTTGGATCAGTACTGGATGGGAAGGACAGAATTCCCGTTGCAATCCTTGCCGACGGCAAGACGATTGACGGGGAAGCAATCCACAATTGCAAGACCTCCCATTCAGGAAGCGTCAGTGCCAGCAAAGAAACCTCATTTGAAAGCGCAACCGTCTGCTGACATTGGCCAGGATGATTATTCCCGGTCAGTGAAGGAGCTGACGACGGGAGAATTGGAAGAAGCGAAGGAAATTGTGGAACGGCGATTGTGCATGAGTGACCCGGAGACAGGAGGACCATTCGGACATGATGAATGGTACCTCACACCCAAGTTTGACATTAGGATACACCATGAGTGGAGGAATTGTCTGTATGTGCCAGATGAGACCGATTCGGCCGCTCCCTCCAAGGAATTGCTGGGGAACGAGAGGCACACATTGGCTGTGTTCCTCAACGGGAGACTCCAGTGGATTCACGACCACTGGGCTGACCCAGAGGCTGCTGCTACGGAATTTCCTGAGCCATTCAAAGGCGCGACGATTTTTCGTCGGCAGTCTCAGCAATTCTTGGAAGAGAGCAACCCGGACATTCCGGAAATGTCGGCTCAACGGCCAAAGGGATTGTACGTTCCCAAACAGCCGACGGACGATGAGATTCGTGAACATGAGTTGACTCATCTGCCATTCAGATCATGGTGTGAGATTTGCGTCAGGTCGAAGAGCAAGCAAAACCAGAGTCGTGCCATTTCGGTGCGGCAACCTGTGATTCAGGTGGATTACGCCTTTATGGGTGATTCACAAAGTGACACACAGGTGACATTGCTCACGGCCACTGATGTACTGAGTGGAATGGGATTGGCGTGCGTTGTTCCGTCCAAAGGACGCATTGTGTATGCGCAAGCAGAGTTGAGGAAATTCGTGTTGGAGATTGGAAGGACATTTGGGATTGTTCAGTGCGACCCTGAAGCTTCATTAAAAGCCTTGGTCGAGGCAGTCACGGGTGACATTGGTGGATTGTCATACCGTGAAGCTCCCACTGGCTGGAAGCAAGCTCAGGGATCCATTTCCAACATGCAAGCAACATTGTATGCTCAGATTCGTGCTTTGAAGCTTGACATTCAACATAGGTATGGCATGTCGGTTAGCGTGCATTCGCCATTGTTTCCTTGGATTGTTAAGCACTCCATGTGGCTTCTAAACAGGTTTCTTCATCGGTCTGATGGATTCACTCCATTTGAACGACGATGGGGAAAGAAGTATGGAGGTGCATTGTGTC